GAATGAAATGCCAATTGATGATAACCTCAAGAGGAAATTTCTCGATTAAAACTAGAATTTAGTTAAGCTTGTTCATATTACAGGTAATTTACTAATGCTGGACCCTAAGTTTGGTCAGCTCTAGTCAAGAGAAGAGTCTAAAGTCACCAAGAATCTCTTATAACGTCAAGTTTTATTAAAAAAATTCAATAAAATCTTAATCGACTTCGAGAACTGTACTAGCATGTACTAGGTTGACCCTAGCCATATAAATTTCCATTGAAGCTACTAAAACTTAGAATTGGTCAAACTCTGGAATATAATGAGTCTATATCCAATGCTTTACACTTTGAACATCACTAACCGTAAGTTTCAGAGTCAATATCCCAAAAATATCGTATTATGTTGCTCAATAAGCACTTTCCTAGCTAGAACTTTAAGTTATTCTCTTAAAAATTTGTTAAATATTCAACTTTATAGTCCCTTGAACTCTAAAATCCCCTATTTCTCAAAATATAGTTGAACAACTCAAATCCACAGCTTACACAAAACTTTAAATCCTTTCCATATGCACCCATATATCATACAATTATCAGATCCGAACAAAATATCATATTTCTTTTTCCACAACTGCTTTTCATCCACATTACAAATAATTTACATCTCCATCTACTTCTCAAGCATCATATCTAATGCAAAAATAAATATTCAACAGAACATTATCATTACCGTCGAGATGAATATAAAAGAGTTGTTGATATATGAACATAAAATTTAATTTTATGTAAAATAATCGCACGTTGTAAGAACTCGAAGAATTTTGTATGTTCATTTGGATCGTTTAAAAAAATCACAGGCACAGAAAACAGTAAAACACCGGTTGATTTCCTGTTATTGTTATTATTGTAACAACAAGGCGAGCGAGCATAATGAACGAGAAACACATACGCGATATTTAAATTCCCGTGAAATTATAATCAGAATCCAAAAATCTCTCTTTTTCGCCGCAAATTGAGGAATTTCTGCCGCTAAATACAGTGTGAAATTATTTTGCAATTAAAATTAAAAAATTGAAATTGAACAAAAAAGATAATTTGAGGCAATTTTTTTGTATTGTGGTGAAAAATCTGTTTTAAATTATGAAAACATTCAAGAAGCTTTCAAACCAGCCAGACAGCCAAACAAACCCTAAAATCCATCAAACTCCAAATACTGAGCGATAGAAAAAGAAAGAAAGAAGTAAAAAATCTAGACAAACAATATGCAAATGAGGAACCCATCAAAATCACATTTAGAGCGTAGAAGAACTCTTCAAGCATAATTTTTCTTTAACTTTCTTTTCCTCTCAATTTTCATAAAATAAAACAATCTTTTTCAATCACTTCTTTCCAGGTGCATGCCAATGACACTTTTAAAGATTTCGAGTCTGTGTCTCTAAAACCCCACAAAAGTATTTTACATGGGAGAAAATTATTAAATAAAAATTAATTGTTATTTTATGTGCTCCTCACTTTTTAATGTGCCTAATTCTTCCCTTATTATTATTATTCCTAGCTACGCTAGTTAAATACCACAGACTTAAAAATATAGGAATGTGTAAAGAACAAATTTTACCGTGAATAAAGAGATTTTGAGGAATTAAAATCATATTCAATTTTTCCACCCATTCATCCATCCATCTATCTATTTGGTTTCAATTTTTAATGTAATGGAAGGTATGGCTAGAGAGTGTATGGTCCTTGTGGGAATTGTGTCGGTTTTTGTTTTAATTTTAATTTTTTGTTTAATCTTAAACTTAAAAATGAGCAATTTTGATGCCATAAAAGCAGCAATTGGTTATTTCTCTTAAGTTAAGTTGGTTAAATTTATTTTTTAATGCATTCTAAGTGTGCAACTCTTGTAGGTTCTAGCTACTAAATAGACCTTTTAATTTGCTAGAGTTTCCTACAAATAATGCTGTCCTAATCTATCGTTATAAAAGTAGTTATTTTCGATAGGATTTGAACCCTTACACTTGGATATTCAGCCATTGAATTCAAGATTCTTGTGATTCGATCACTAATGTCCTTATCAAAGCTTCTTTGACTTTGGCTACTCAACAACGACTTCATATTGGTTTAAATTGCAAGCTCCATGCTATGGCATGCCTATTAAAGTCCAACTTTCTAGTCATTATTTCAAAATTCTAATCCAATTCATCTAGTTCCTCAGAAACTCAACAAACCTTACCAAAAAAATCTCACAAAACTAACCCAAAGGTAAAATAAAGAAGAACCTCAATTTCGCTCAATATGTATCATAATGTGCTTATATCGTTCTCCGTTCCTTTGCCTGATTCAACGTTTTGTTGTTGTTGTGCTGCTGTTATGAATAGAGGGTAAAACGTGAATAATGATAAATCGTTTTTTTGCTTCAAGGATAATTTTTTATATTATTATTTTTTTATCCATATTTAAAGTCTGACTTTATTGAATCTAAAAAGAATATATCTTTAAACAGCTATTACAACTTTTCTCGTAGTGAGTAAAATATTTAAAAGTTATGATCTGTTGATGTTTATTTATTGACTCGTATATGTTTGCTATTTCCTTTGTCTTTTCATCATTAGCATTAATACTTTATTTTGATGGAAGTCAAAAGGTGTATTATAAAAATTTATTAGCAATCAGAAGTTTTTTTATTGCTTTAGATGCTGGAGATCATGATGTCAGAATTCATTTAATATTTAATAAGAATTTTAAAGAAGTTAATTGATGTAAATAGAATTATTGAGTAATTGTGGTGCAAATTGGTTGGTTCTGTCGATGGAATGAAAAATGATGTTTCGTGATTTTAAAGGAATTTTGAAAAGATTATTCATTTTTGTGTTTGAATGCTAACACGATGTCTAAACAGATGCGATTGGAAACTGATCTAAATTGATCAAGTCACAGTCTAAAGGAATCAAGAAGAGTATAAGCAAGTCCTGAGGGAACTACACTGGTTCAGAGGGATCTAATGATGTTCAAAAGGGATCTAAAAAAGTCCAGATAAGTGTAGACTAGTCACGACGGATTAAGAAAGGACAAAACGGGCATAAACAAAAACAGACGAGCTCAAATAGATCAACATGAGTTTTGCAGGAGTTTGAACAAGGTTTGGATAGGTTTAGACAGCTTTTAGAGGATCAGAATGATTCAATAGTATTCTCAATGGGTTATTAAGGGATAAAACCAGTTAAAATATGTACAATCGGGTTATTACAAGCTCATGTAAGATGGAATCAGTTAAAAATGCAACTCGAAAAAGGTTTAAATGAGTATAAACTAGTTCAGATAGCTTTAGACATCCTAGTTGGAACTAGACAAGTTCCCAACTATGCAAACTTAATTTCCCATTATTTTCTAACCGACCCGATCTTTTTCCTTGCTATATTACTCTAAATTTAGCCAGACTTAATACATTAGTCAACCATAAGTTCAATGAATCTCAATTCTGAAGGTCTTGTTTAGAAGACCTTACAAAATGTAAGTTTAGATACCAAAATACATCTCAAAAAGGAAATAGATTTCGCCAACTCTTTAACATCCATATCATTAAACACTACAAAAGATCAATGAAACTTAAAATTTCCCTTTCAAAAATTGTGCGTCTAAAAGTGATGAAAAATAAAAGAATGACGATTTTTTTTTTTTGAATTTCCATCACGTCTGAAATAAACTTTAAGCATATCCACAATACAAAAACAACTTTTTCTACGTGTTTAAAATAATTTCTATTTACTTCCCACAGTTTGAAAATAAGAGACAAAATTTGACATTTTTTTTTCGGTCCATACATCAAGTATAAAAATTGTAACGTCCGTCAACACACTTTACATTTTTCTTTTTGCCTTATGTACTTTAGTTTAATATTTTTTTGTTATTTTATTTTCCATACCATGTTGCAACATTCTATATAGAAGGAGAGAGAGGCACATAAAAAAAAACTTATTCCGACACGAAAAATTCAACAGTCATTAATCATTTTTTAGAAGTGCAACGCATTTGAAAAGAAAAAAAAAATTTTCATTTAAATTTGAAATTCTCGTGATAAACACAAGTAAAGTTGTGAGCATGAAGAAAATAAGATAGACACATAAATGGGATATAAAAAGAAAAATCAGATTGAAGGATTTTAAAGTATTATTTTGCCATCAAAAGATTCGGATAAAGTGAGTGAGTGAGAGGGATGGTGGAATTGGAATAAGAGTGGGATTTAGATGTGGATGGGATGTCTGAAACGAGAGGTTCTTGAATTTTTGAAGAAAATAAGCAATTACAGCGCATTTTAACTTATGTTGTATGGATTGAATGATTTAAGTTCGGGAAGGGGCTCCAAAAACTACAACTTATTGTCTACTTCCCACATCCAAGTCACTGGATAGCAGGGACCAGCTTCTTGGGCTACATGCCAACCCTAGTAGACTCTAAGATTTTCTTTTATAAAAAAGGTTGCTATAAGTAGCCCAAAATCAGAAACTAGTCTAAATGCACATCCTGATCATATATATAGCACAGCCTAACCCACCCCAAAATGAACACCAAACCCACTCACATCACATTCAAAAATTGCACAATTTAAAAATCATAATAAGAATCTAATCCTTTTATTCCCCGCTTCAGAACTATGCATAAATATTACAGGGTTCTATCAGAACCAAAAAAAACTGAACAGTAAAGCATTGAATAAAAGAACAAAAAAATAATCGATAAGAGTCAATGATTGATTACCAGCAGACATGACATAAAATTAGGTCATAACATCGCTCTTCAACCTATTCTAATACTATCATTATGTATATTATTTATATACATATTTATTTATATAGCGCAAAGGGATAATAGTAATAAAGCCGCGAAATAAGATCATTATGAAATCCCCTCGTATACATACAGACATACAATCGAGTCTCTAACACAGTGTTGAAAAAATTAAAACAGAAAGTAAAGAAAGAAAAAATCCGTCGGTAAACATATTAAGTTAAATTTATATATTTTTAGACGAATTTGTTGCAGAAAATGGACTACCAAGACGATTACGGACAGCATACACAAACACACAGTTGCTGGAGCTGGAAAAGGAATTTCATTTTAATAAATATTTATGTCGACCGAGACGGATCGAAATAGCCGCGAGCCTAGACTTAACAGAGCGTCAGGTATGAGAAAAAAGGGTTAAAATGGATATCCATTTATCATTAATTTATGGATTTTATTTTATTAAAGGTTAAAGTTTGGTTCCAAAATCGCCGAATGAAATTCAAGCGACAAACACAATCAAAAACTGACGATGAGGATTCGAGTAAGGATGACTTTAAGGCTGATGATGATACTCAGTCATGCAGTAAGCAACCCATTCTATACTCAATAAAAATCCATTTTCAATTCCTCAATTTTAATCTCCAGATTCAAACTCAAAAAAGTCATGTCAAGGTTGCGATTTGCCATCGGACGATGTGCCCGATTCCACATCAAATTCACGTGGTCAAAACAACAATACACCCAGTGCAACCAACAATAATCAATCAAACGTAAATGAACGAACAAATGGTGCAATTTCACGAACAACTCCCAATTCGACAATTGATTTAGGGACGACACAGAATACACAAAATTTAATGAATTCAACGAGCATTTCGAATGCGGATTCATCAATTCCATCTACAGGTAGCCTTGATGAGGAGGAGGAAACGCCGGTGAAAATCAAAAAGAAAGAGGAGACTCATAGTGGAGGTCGTAAGGTAAAGAAGACGACGACTATGATGATGATGATAAATGTAAGGGATACTTAATGTGAATGAAGGAATGGGGAGGTAGGGGTGATGGATAGAGATGTTGATCTGATGAAGCAGTCAAAAATGATAAGAATTTGCATCAAGGAAGTGCTGGGATAAGATTATTTAAATTATATTTTTGAATTATTAAAGTGGTTTGGCTTCAATGGGAAGAGAATTTTAAGGTTTATAAGGAAATTTTAAAGCTATAGAATTCCATAATAGGGTCACTTAAAGTTTATTTGAGACTAGATACAAAATTGACGGTACAAACATGTAGATTAGTCAGAATAAGGCTGGTACTTCAGTTGGTGAATCACAGGAATCACAAACGGGATAGGAAATGGTTTGAGGGTTCAAATCTTAAGCGTTAAGGCTCTTAAAGCTAAGAACATGTTTTTGTAACCAAGCTTGCCTTCGTACTCGCATCATCAAACTTGATACTAAAATTCTAATCATTCCCATTAATTATTTGCAGAAGAAAGAACCGAAAGTGTCCCACATGTACGCAAACAACGACGTCTATCGTAAAGAAAATGTTCAATCTCCACACGTAATTGGAGCTAAATCAAATCTAAATTATAATCGAAATAACAATCAATATCAGAATCAGGTTAAAATAAAAGGACAGCCAATCGCAATGCAGGATGGATATTTTCCAGGTTTTTATGGAAAACATCCACCACCACCGAATATTCATCATCAGCCAAACGATGTCATGTTCACAAAACATGAGATTGAGTTTCATCAAAAAAATATGTCAACGTCGCAACAACAACAAGCGACAGCAGCAGCAGCAGCCGTGGGACAGCAATTTCCTCCATTTCATGGAGCCGTACAAAAATATGATATTCATGAATATGAACAGCAGCATCATAATCTATTGAAAAATGATGTAAATCATAAAATTTCTGTCGGCAATATTCATTCAGCACGACCACCGCCACTTGACTTTCCATCACCGCAAAATGCACAAATGTATTACAATGAAAATAACGCTCAAAATTCACATAATCAATATTATCCGAATGAATTTGATATTGGCAATGATGGTGCAAATTCAGTCACTGGAAATGGCAATGGTAGTGGAAATGGCGGCACTGGCAGTGGCTATTTCGATCCAAAATCCCAAGCGCATTATTATGAAATGAATTATCATCATCAGCATAGCGGAAATGATTATTCAGAAATGTACGGTCCGAATGCAGCGATAAATGAAAATTGTGAAAACTTTTCATCATTCCAACAATATTATGATCATCATCAACATCCACAGCATCCAGCACAACAGCAACAACCACAAAATATGCATCATCCCCATCCACCACATCACTATCCACACCACATAGCTGCCGCTGCAGCAGCACAACAGAATCTTACTAATCCAGTTGCCACGGCATATGTTCATCAACAAAATTTTGCATCAAATGCACAAATTCATGGAAATACAAATCTAACGGAAAATAGTAATAGCTCATCTGACTTTAATTTTCTTAGTAATCTTAATGACTTTGCACCGGAATATTATCAGTTGAGTTAGTCGTTAAATGAATTTTAAGACGAATTTTCATTTTATTTTTATTAGTAAAGCTAGAATCCCTTCGCTGCAGCATAAAAATTGATGGGGTTGTTTACTAATGATGTCACGTAATACTTCTTGAGGGATTGGTTTTCTAGGGTTATTAAGGGAACCTTACCCTAGAATTGAAGATCTAGTAAAAGGTGTGACAAGGGTAGGGTTGGGTGTCTTTTGTAGCTACAAAAACTGGATGCTAGGCTTAATTAAAGAGGAAATAAGAGAAAATATTCAATTTCTACCATAAAGTGACAAGGTTGACCCCAAACTCAGTCCATTACAACTGTTACTACGCCTCTGCACCCATACACACTTATGCTTAACCATCTAATTAATTCAAAAACATTTCTTTTGCTTTAAGTGTCACAGAGCTACAATCCCCCCTATAGTCGGACTTCATAAGTGAACAACCCCCAATTAAAAGAGAAATTTTTTTGTACATTGAAGTAAAAATGAACTGATTGTAGATGATAAAGTTATTTTCAGTATGCAGAGAGTCTTCCTTTCTATTTGAGAAATAAAAAAGAATGTCTTAACAGATTTAACAGATATTGTAAAAAAAACTATTATAAGAGTTCTCTGCTCACTGGTCTAATATTGTACTTAATGAAAAAAATGAGAAGAAAATTTTTATGTGCAAGTAAATTGTAAAAATATTTTGTAAAATGAATGAAAGTAAATGAACGCATTATGTACTGAAGCGAAGCTAAGTTAGTTGTATAAGGTGAGGGGTTGTAAGTTTTGGATTTGATATGGTGAAAAAGTGGTAATACTGCCAGAAAGATTAGTCATTTTTGTAAGAATCAAACTCACTTTGTTGCAAAAGCTAGTGAAATAATTGATTAAGTCTAATGTCTAATTGCAAGAGCTTATATAAAATAATGTGTGAAGGGCCCAGCCTTTCAGCTAGAGGCACTGCAATTTTATTTGGAAAGAATCTATTATACCATACCCTTTAGATAAACAGTTTACAGTGGGATCTGAACCACTTGCAAGCTCTGCACATTGTAAAGACAAGAGTACGTCATAAGACCTGACCGCATTAACATTGTAAGAGCTTAAGTAAATGATATAAATAATACACGACAATCTATATTCTGGGCAGATTTTTGATCTTAATTTGAGAAACTCAAGCCTTGAAGTATGGTCTAGGTGTGACCCTAAGGATAATGACAAAATATAATTTTAACGACTTTGTATCTGAGCGATATCAACCTAGTTTTCAATTACAGAAACAACCAAACTTAAAATGCTTAATTCCTCAATTTTGAATAAAACTGAATGACCAAATTCCTTCAACATTCTCATTTCCTGTATTTTTTTAACATCCAAACCTGGCAAACCTTAAAAATCAGACCACCAAAAAAGCTATTCAAATTATGTCTTAATTGAAGCCTCCAAAAAATTTCCCAGCAACAATTAAAATTGAGATCTTAAGATTCACTTCTTTATTACTTTAATACAGCCATTAAACCACCATTTGACCAGAAAAAAAGTCAGAACTCTTTAAAAGCTTTAATTATTCTATTATGTCTGATCTGATTTCATAAAAATATGCCGAAACTAAAGATGTAAAATGAGATACAACGACTTCCTTGGGAACAACGCAAATATTTATTCAAATTTTTCAACATTAGCCTTAATCTCATGCAAATTTTTGTTAAGATTTTTAACATTCAAGTCAAGGTGATTTAAATCGTTTAGTGGAAATAATTGAGGATTTATAGAGCAAATGAGGCTATACTTTAGGCTGTTTTAGTGACTTGTAGAGAAGTTTGGTTGATCTTAATAGTTCAACTGGGTAAATTGGGTACAAAGCTATGCTTCTGGCTCAAATTGTATGTTCAGATAATTTTAAAACATCAATCAAAAGTCCAATAATCCAAAACTACACCCCACCTCTAAAATCAATTTTTGTTACATATTTTAAAGCATCGTCAATGTTTTTTAAGTGGCATTTATGAGAAAATAATAATTTGCTTTCCGTTTATTTCATTTGCCATAATGTTTAACTATTATTTTGAGAGGCAAGAAGAAGAAGAAATGGAATAAAAAAATGTTGCTTTACTTAATGTTGTGTTATATAATATAAGAATAAGTAAAAAATTAATAAAGAATATTTTTAGAATAATTAATAAAAAACATTTGATTATCACATTCAATAATTAAACTAATGAAAGAATTAAAAATAATTATAATATATTATATACATATAGATAGCTAACGATGCAAGAAATGAAGAATTAAGAAAGTAAATCAAGTGTAATATATGAATCTCCATATTATGTATTTAATAATAAAAAGGAAAAATTTTACTGAAAAAAAATCATTTTTGAAACTTTTTTGTTTTTTAAAATAATTATGGAATTAATTTTAAGGTGGTTTGATGTTTAAGCTGAATGGAATCTGGAGTATCGAGCAATATGTAGGTTGCAATCTGCAAATGTGAGTCTAAAGTCTTTATAGCTGAGTGGTTAAGCAACTGACTGAATATCTATAACTCTCGTTTGTAAGAATGTAGGTTCGAATCCTATCAAAGAACTGTTGATAGAAAGTGATCGAAATATTTAAGATTTAAATCGAATTTTAAACTTTTTAGAATCCCTGAATTTTCTTCTACGATATTAATCCCTTTGTCCTTATAAAGAAGCTAGTTTCTAAGCTCTCCAAAGCCTGTTCTAGTCTCAGTTAACTTCATAGGTTGAATTTAATTCATAGGATAGAATATTCTTTGCAGCCCTGACTACCACCACACAATCTTGAGTTTTTTTAAGTTCAAAATCGAAATAAAACCTAAGAACAGGTTGTAATCTCAAAACTTTGACGATCAAGCCATAAATTTTTGCAGCATTTCACACAGTATCTTTTTAATCTCACTCACGTTGCTCACCATAACATTTGCTCACTCATAAAAATTTCCCCTACCCTCATATTCATCACTAAATTGCTCAAATTCCACAAAAAACATTCATACAGTTCACCATCAAAACATTTATAAAGTTTTCGTCTCTCAGGCGCCACTTCACTCTCAAACACGTGGTCAACATCCTAAAAACATTTTTTACATAAATTTTTATGCAATATGCTGCAGACAGTTTTTTGCTACTAGACACTTTAAAATAATTTTTATTTTTTCAAAGAGATAAATTTTGTCATCTCCAGAAAATTGAGAGAGATTCCTTTATCGGCGCCATCAAAGTGAAGAAAATTCTTAATTTTTTTTTGTGATGCAATTTTTAAGTGACTTTTGCCGTTGAAAGGAATTCTTATTTATTTTTTTTGTTTTAGATGTATGCTAAATAGACTGTGAAATTTATTTAGCTTCTGAAGATTAATGAAATATTTGAATTTTGAGATGCATGTTGATTTTCTGATGGATTATTGAGCATTGAATGAGAAAATTTAATTTTTCTCACATTTTCCCCTACTTGATTTTTGATATTGACGCGTTCGTGGTTTTTGATTGGCGATTGAATTGAGTGGGGATAAATTTCCATATGGAGCTGCTTTCTCTAAACAAATGAAAAGACAGAAAATTAGTTGAGAAGTTTTTAAGATTCTGGTGGTAAGTGAGCATTTTGATTAATGTTAAGAAGCTAGTAAAGTAGCTTGTAAAGGAGCTAGTAAAGTAGCTAGTAAAGAAGCTAGTAAAGTAGCTACTATTTATGTTAAGACTATGGTTTTAATTCTTGATTCTATCTTAGAAGAAGTATTTATATTAAGATTTACAATAAGCACTTCATCCCAGCCTATATCAGCTATTTTAGTTATGATCTTAATAAAATTCTAACCTACATCACAATAATGAACTATTCCTAGTCATCAACTCTTCTAGAGTTTGTAGTATCCCAAAGAAAACTCCAAAACATATCAGACAAACTGCACTAAACCCACATGAACCATCCAAAAACAAGCTAAGCAATACATAATGCCTCCGATCAGAGAGTTCATTAAAAATCGAACTAATAATTTTGTTTTAAATGTTCTTTTCTTTCTTTTTTGGAGCCTGAGGAAAGTTTGACGACATTGAGACAATTTAAATGAGATAGTTTATGTGACTTAATGTTAAATGGTCTTGTGTAACATGATCGCAAACAAGACCAGAAGATGTTAACAAGAGAAAATTGAAAACCATAAGAAAAAATTGATGTTTTCGGTGTCGTGTGTAATGAATAAGTGAGCAGTAAAGCACATCCCGCCTCCAAAATGAGATGAAAAAGAAGAATTGAAAAAAAGATGAAGCATAGAAGAGAAATGAAAAATAAACTTATGTATGCATAGATCTCAGTTGAAAATTTCACGTTAAGCCAATTAGTCGGATACAAATTGAAGTCAATCGAGTGAAGTGCCATTTTGAATTAATTGTTTCAATTTGTACTTTTAAGTGATTCTTAATGACCAATTAATTGTTGAGTTTTATTCTTCTTAATCCCGAGGATTTGTTCTCACGAAAAAATAAAAGTTAATAATAATGATTAATAATCATCAAACTGGATATTATGATATGGACAATAATGTTGTTATCGGTGACAATTCAAGTGAAGTTGATGTGCTTAATACAACGCCATTCTCTGTCCGTGATATTTTAAACATTGCTAATCAAAATAATGAGGAAAATATTTATCAAGATCCGATGAATTCGTCGGAATTGTTTTCGCAAAAGTTTTATGGAAATAGCTGTGGATCGTCTTATGGTGCTAATAGTGGTCAATATAAAAGGTAGTGAGTTTGAGTCGTTGGATTATTTTAGTGTTTTGTGCAATATTTTGGTTGATTTTGAGACCAGAACTGTGAAAACTTTATTAAGCTTATTATATAAATCTGCATATTTGAATGGCATTTATTGGTTTGAGGACTTTGACAATTTTAATTTAATTTTAAATAATAAACCAAAATTCAACTAAGTCCTTCAATTTTCCAAATTATTAACCAAATATTTCTCCCATCCAGCTTTCGTACATCAAGTGATCAAGTGGGTCTCTATGACTACTCATTCAACAACAATTACCTCCTCTTCCAAAACACCCCATCCAATTTTTCAAATTTCGATTATGGAACTTCAAATTCATCACTTTACCACGACTACAATCCAGTCTCAATTCCAAATTACAACCACTTTCCCACAACGTCCACAACGCCAATTTTTCCTTCAACAAATATTCGACATTCAAATGTTCCTACAACTGTTGATAATGTAAACAAGTGCCAATCACAAATCAAGAATGACTCTTCATCGAGTTCAAATTCAGAGTCGATGTCGGTGGGGAAAGTGCAGACAATTGTTCATAATACATCCGAGCATGTACAAGAATTGAATCAGATGTGTCAAATTAAGGATCCGAAGGAGTTTGATAAGAACATAGGCAGTGAGTATTGATTTTGATGTCCTTTGAAGGGTTAGGAAGTGGGTCTAGTGTAGATATTTTTATAATTGGCGTATGTGTTTATGTAATAATGAAAAATAAATCAAATTTGATGAGAATCAAACTCGCATCTACAAAAAATGTGATCTCAGCCTATCCAGTCACTGATTACTGCTATTTTGCAAAATAAGTTGCTATTTTGCCAATAAGTTGCTATTTTAGCATCAATATTTCTTTAAACACTTACAACTAATTTCACCATGAGCCCCTTTATGCTCTTAAATCACAGCTTTATTTTTGAGTTGCTAGGCACAGATCTTGCTACTTTTGAGTCAAATTAAAAATTAATTAAATTTGTTTAAAGCCAAACTTACTCAATTTTTATGAATTTTCAACTCTTTCTTCCAGAAGACACCAACACACACATCGTTACATCATCATCGTCATGTGGAAAATCAGGAAAGTCAAAATCAAAGAGGAAACCTAGAATCTTATTTTCACAATCACAGGTTGTAGAGCTAGAGAGGAGATTTAAAATCCAAAAATATCTTTCAGCCCCGGAACGAGAAACGTTAGCAAGCAATTTGAATTTGACTCCTACGCAAATTAAGGTGAGGCTTGATGGTTTGAAAGCAACAAATAGCTTTACATCCTGAAAATGTGCATAATTCTTGATGAATTGCTCTGCATTGTCCGTTGAGCTAACATTCAGCTCTTAACTTAATTTAATGTTTTTCCACATTTTCATCCACAGATTTGGTTCCAAAACCGTCGATACAAATCAAAACGCCTTCAAATCGAATGTGGCATCCAAACAGTCTCATCCGGAAACTCAAAATCAAAGGACCTCATCAAAAATACATCAACAAAGTCCAACTATCAAGCACCTCCAACAAATATCAACATCGCAACCCTTCAATCGTCATTACAGCCTCCATTTTCATACAACAACAACAACATCTTCTGGTAACATTGCACTTTCTTTGTTCTAATGGGCCCAGGAAAGGAAGTCTGAGGAATTATTTTTTTGTACTTTTTTATATTATATTATACATACATATGAGAATCTATTACAGTTGAATGTAAAAATTATGAAAGAAAAAAAAATCTTTTTTGAAGAATTAAAAAAGAAATATTTTAAAAAAAAAATTATGAAGAAGACTATCGCGTTGTATTTCTTGTTGTTCAAAAGGGCATCTGTTTTATTTTGTGTTACTCTCCTTTCGGCTGCTTACTGTCGGCTTCAAATCTCAAATGCGATAACCCAGCAATATATTAAATTCACATAACTTTTAGTCTCTGTTTCTGTGTGCTGTGTTTTATGGATGCGAGGCATGTTGGATGGCTGGGTGATGTGAATGTTGAGGCTGAAGAAATTGATGGAAGTAGTTGCTAAGCTAAATGATTTGTTTTGATGGTTTGATTGATTGGTTGATGATTAAGGACATTATTTACAGGATTTAAATAGCTAGAAGATAAGACTATAAATTGTAAGTCATTTGAGAAAATCAAGACGTCCCCACATCGATTTTGTGATTAATCTGAGTCAGGTGCACTACCAGTCGTGTCTTTCACAGCTAAACCTACTCCAATGTGCTTTAACTGGATCTTTAAAATCTCTTAAAATAAAAAAAACCTCACAAAAATGCGCTCTAACCCTTTTCTAGCTCCTCTTAACCAACTATCATTCCTTACTCAATTTTATCTTCTGCTGCTGTTCAGTCATTTCTACTTCTGCTATGGCAAACATGAAAGTTTCTCTTCTTATTATTTCAATATTATTATTTTTAAAAAATATAAGCTGTTTTTCTGTTCTTTTTTCCCAATCACTCATTTTTATTTCTCATTTGTGGCTCAAATTTGCCTCTGGAATTTAATATCAAACCATTAGATTGAAATGAAACTGCGTTCATATGAACTCATGTTTTTGATCTGTCTTTATGACATGATATGGAGGGATTTAATTGTGGAAAATGTCACTGTTTATAGCTATTAAAGAGAAATTCTGACTTGTGTATGTCGACATCCGAGAAAATCAATGAATGCATGATTTTATGGCATCAATGTAAATAAAAATATTATTTTCCATGCATCGATATTGAAAATCTATAAACAATGAGCCACAACAGTGGTTGACTTTTCTGTTTGTCATTTCTCAATCACACTGTTTTGTTTGATGTTGGATTAGCGTGATTTAATTGACATTGTAGGCTTGTGGTGACTCTTGTCATATTGACAACATGTTGTAATTACAGATTTTTTCAAATCTAATGAGAATTGAACACACAAACTTCCAGAACGATGAGGATTGAGGTTTAAGGATGTTTCATATTCACTTGACCACAAAGCTATTACTCTGGAGTTGGCAGATTTATCTTAATGTAGAATAAACATGATTTGACCATTAAAACTTTAATAAATTGCAAAACTTAATTAGGGGCCGTTCACTTATGACGTCCGAAATTAACGGTCATTTTTCAAAAAAGAACAATAGATTTCCAGGAATTTCTTTTGTTCTTTTCTTGTTGACCCCCCCCCCCCCCCCCCTGTACGTCATAAGTGAACGGCCCCTTAATGATCGAGTGATCAAAAATCAAAAATTAATTTTCTTCTTATAAATCATCAATATTAAGCGGATCTATTGAATTTATGCTCATTTTGGCTTTTTATTAAAATTATGCTATCATATTGAGTTTCAAGTGACTGGAAATATCATCGAATTGGAAAACTGTTCGTTTGTTACGTGACACAAAAATCATTAGATGATAAAATCATTTATGATCCCTTTTCGGATAGAAATTAGACTGAAAAGTTGGATAAGGACACTCCCCTTCTCCTACAATTAGTAAGACTTATCTGTAGAATTGCCATATTCAACTAGTGATCATGTGTTGTGTTTACTTGAATTTCGTCTCTCCTTATGATCCCTAATATCCAAACAGCCCCTTTAACTTATTCATTTCTTTCAAAATTCAAAACATTATCCAAATTGGTCAGTTTTTCTTCCCGATCATTCACCCAAAATATTCCAAGAAAATCAACATTCAACATTAGTCAATAGGCTTCATCATTAATTTTACAATTTCCGATTTGAGAAAATTCTGTGATTAATAAAATTGATGAAGTCCAGCATACTCTTCTGAGTATTGAAGAAAAATAGATTTTTGCTAACATTTTAGTTGTAATCTTTTCCAGCTGTAAACGTGATGAAAGAAAATGAGTTCATAAGTTGAAATGATGGTTTTTGGAAGTTGAGGAATGTGCTTTGAATTTTTTGTGAATTTATGGATCATTTTCTGGCTTTTATATGAGATCTTGTAAGGGAGGAAGGGGTTACTTACAGCTCAATAATCGAATTTTATTTAATTCAGCAGAATTAACTAGTTTATTAAGAATTTGCTCGAAGTGAGAATCGAGCTCGCGTTTGTAAGATTCCGGTTGAATGATCAAACTATTAATCTATTGAATGTTGCTTCAAAGTTTTGCATAATATCAGTTTAAACCATTAATCTGCTATATATATTTGGTAAAGAACTTTTAACCCTACTCATATATTAAATTTAGCAACTGAAAGTCAAAAATGCGCTTCAAAATTCAACTCAAGAAATTCATCATATTCTCAGTATCTTCCATCAAAATGATGTTATGCTGTATATTTTATTTGAAAGTGATCTCTTTGTTTGTTGTATATTTTAAGGGTGATCGATTTTTCCATTCTATTCTCCCACACATTTTTCTACATCTAGTTCTATACTCTGACATCATCTGTTTATTTATATGTATTTGTAAATGTTTATTTAATAAATATTAAATTTCATATTTTGCATGATATCGATGATTTCCATTAAATTTCATAAATTTTATTATAATATTTCAAGTTTTATTGCTTCTTCTTGTTCTTGTAAGGGTCGAGAACCTCAACAGATTTTTCAATGAAATTGTTTACTTTTTATGGATTTATTTATACAACACTTGAGTCATCCTTTAAACACCAACAAGTGTTAGAGGTACAAGTGCTACTTACATGATGTTGAGTGCTTTTTAGACGAGTTTTTGTTGTTGGAGTGGGGTAACGGTGTTTTGATATTTAAAAACATTTGAATGGTTTTTGGGAATGAGAATTAAAACATTTGAGTAGTTTATCTTTTTATGCTATTATTTTACTTTCACAAGACGCATGCTGTTAATGAAGAGAGGATTTTTAAGCATGTTCATGTTCCTTGTTTCTATTCCTTTTAAACATGTTTCGTGTTTACTTTAGTTCAACAGAGATTTGAAGAATTGAAGAACAAAAGAAACGCATTAGAAATTCCTAATTTTTTCAATTTTTTAAAGTTTTTAAATTTTAACTTTTTACGGTTTTAATTTTTAAAATCATGAAAATTCATAAATTTTTTGACTTTTTAAGAATTTGAATAAGAATTATTTTTTTAAAAATGTTTAAAGATTGAAGATGGTAAAAATGAATTTTTTAAAGTTTTTTAATTTAAAATTCTTAAAATCTTTTAAATTTTTTGTATTTTAAAATTTTCAAATTTTTAAAGTTTCAAATTTTCAAATTTCCGAATTTTTAAATTTTCAAATTTTCAAATTTTTAAATTTCCGAATTTTTAAATTTTAAAATTTTTTCTAATCCTCAATTTTTTTAAAAACTTCACAAGATCTTTAACTTCAAATTTTTGATACTTTTAATCGCTTTTAATATTTTTCATCATTAATTCATAAAAACTTACAAATCAGCATTGAAACATTTTCCACGTCAGCCTACATCTCCCAAACAAAAACAGATAAAATTACACATGACTCCCTATTCAATTAAGCTTAAAAACATCAGCAAGTACCATCAATACCACAGAAGAGAAGAAAAAAAAAGTCAGCACATAAAGTGATTTAGAAAGTCTAGAAGTAACACATGCTTTTATAACGAAAACTTAAGTAAACATCCTCAACACATGTCTTTAACTCAACTCCAATTGTATATTCCATTTCAAATTGTGTTTACATACAATTCTTTTTATCTAAACTACATCATCATCATCGTCATATTAAAGAGTTGACCCGATGCTATTGTTTTCCTATAAATCCAGAACAAGAACTTCCCAAAAAAAATGTTCTACTTTTCTCGATCACATATCATCAAATGACTGTTTCTATTTCCATTCCAACTACTAATTTGTACAACAATATTATTTCATCTTCTGTTGAGCACATGATATAGTACAACATTGAATAAATTTCCGTTTTACTAACCACTTTTACACACCGCCTCTCAACACGTGACTTCCATTGAATGTGTGTATGCAAAAAAAAGTAAATTGAGGATTTTTAGAATAAAAGATGCAGTCAAGTTCTCTCTTTTATGAATCATGTGAATGAAAAAGTGTGTGGATTAAATGAACAATAAAATTGAGGAAAAGAAAGGATGTTGGTTGGAAGGGGAAGCTTTAATAATGTTGTGTGTGATTTTGGGAATGTTATTAGCACCAATTTTTGAATTATTCACTTAATATGAGATTAATTTGAGGATTTGTGCATTTGAGTGTGAACATTTGTCATTGTTAAGGATGTATTCATCATAATTTGATGTGTATTTTTAGTTTGATGCCGTTTGATGTTTACTTTGTCAGTATTGCTAATTTGGAAGACTAGGCTGGATCAGTTGGCTGGACAATAATAAAGACTGGAGATCTAATTATCCTTTAGAATTCACCACGAAGTAGTTTAAGATGTTGGTTAATTTAGGTGCAGAATTGATTCTCATTAGAGATTGTTCCAAAATTATTTATTTTTGTCAACTGCATTACCGCCGGCTTAGCTAGATTTTGGTACTTTGGATCTTTATTAACCTTAATTCACGCCGACTCAATCTTTAATAATAAGTCGTTTCAAAAGACTTAACTTTTCAATTCGGCATGTAAAGGTCTTCAAACAATTCTTCCCATCAACTATAAACTTATCATACCATCACCCCTTCCTCCATCAAATCCCAAAGAAATCCACAACAATCTTCACATAATCTACAGGTAATTAACATTGATTGTTGTCATTTAAATCTCTAATCAAAACTTATAGTAAACTGAAATTAAACTATAATTAATTTCATCAACTTTCTTCCGTTTCCTTCTGTTCCTTCTTACTCGATAATTTAGCACAATATGGAACAAATAAGATCGAGATGAAGAAAAAAAGATGTCTTAATTATAATCTACTGTGACATTGTCGAAAGAGAGTATGAAGAAGTCAACTATGTAGTAAAGTACAATGGAAGATGCATGGAAGAGATGATGTTGGGAGAAGTTTGATATAAATTTTTGTGAGAATAAAGCGCATAATTTAAAAATTGATGTCAAGATGATTATAGTGTAGGAGAACTAGGAGAATTAAAAGGTTTGGAACTGATCAAAACTACCAAA